TTGCCTGTATATTTATATTTCATGACTTAATAAAAACAAATGTATCCTTTGTTCTGTCATCATATAGCAACCAACTATTGTAGTTGTTAGATTCATCTGCAGAAAACAAAGTGACTTTTTGAAACTCTTGTTCGCCCTTTGGAAACACAATTTGCATTAAGGCTGGCTGCTGGAGCCAGAATTGTTCATCACAAAAAATTGCTTCTTATTGAATGGAGAGTCGACCCCTAGTTACATAGTTGCATCGATTATATGTATAAGAAATGAGCTATTTTTCACAATACGCCTGAAACTGTTGCAAATAATTTTCAGTATGTTAGTTATCCGCATGGACAATAGACTATTCCTTTTGATTAATCATTACAACGAATATTTTTGCTCCAATCTTCAGAAAAAGCTAAATTCAAAATACAAGGGGTTTGAGAAAGAGTCAAGTGATCATTTGACAGTTTCTTGGTGCCTAGGTTTTCAAATATCTTCATTCCATTACTTGTAAGGGAACTTTAGAGCAAATGAAACTTTTGTGAGTATACCATTATGACAAAACTCAGATGTTGATGACTGGCCTGTCAAGTATCTCGAAGGTCCACAAACCGGAGCACAGGAATGGGGAACATGAAGAAGCTAACCTTATAGATCAATTTCAAAACCTCATTTCTCTACCTGGAATAGTGATCACTTTTGTTTGTAGATCTGAAGGGAATGTATACTTTTGTTCTACTACTTGTAAAACTCAACGTAATACCTTATTCACAAGCACGTAGATACTATCAATTTCCCATAAGTCAGGGTATTTTCAACAGGTGTACCTTTTTCTGCGCTCTGATAAAATTCTGTCTTTATAGACTGGGCCACAAAGCATCACCAAAGTACATAACTGATGTTTACATACTCCTATAGCTTGGCATCAGAACGGACAACAAAATATTCTGTGGCAGGCAATATTCTAAAGAGGCCCACATTATAGCTCAACTTCTTGGAAACCTCATTTTGCTACCTGGTATGGTGATGAATATGCAATCAAGATTTAGAGCGGTAGCTCAGCTTCAGCTATAATGTAGAGCATGTTTAATTAAAACTTATCTAACCAAACTTTTGCATTAAAGCCGTTCTCCAAATTGGGATATATAGGAACTAATGCTTTACGCTACGGCGCGGCGTCCAAGCATGAGATGGCAGTTTTTAAAGTTTAAGTGACCATTTAATGCAATTCTAGAGTCCGCAAATTTGACTTTTTAGCCTCACCTATACATACGGGATGTTTATAAACTATCTGGCCAAACTTCATAGGTTACCTTGAGTCAGTCTAAGCTGATATAAACATAGACGTAATAACCCTTCGTCTTCAAGATACAGGTTATCATCGTCCAATAAAATAGCGATCTCTTGCAATGATCTCAATAATTTTTGGGCTCGATTCGCTGAAGTCTTTTCAATTCTCACGCATACGGTTGTCAAACTCTCTTGAGTAAAGAAATTTTAGGGATTTAAATTCAGTGGTCTACGTATAGATGGCCTAAGATCCTTTATGAATATGAATAAGTTTTAACAAAATAATCTAAGGAGTTTGCACGAAAAAACTGCATTTCACAATAGGTTTGAAACAATGTATTTTGAATTTCCGTACCGATGTTACTTTTTTTCTAAGAATCGCCTATTAAAATTTGCTTAGGTGCTCTGTTGACGCCCTGTATATTTGTTGATAAAAGCTTGTTCCATAAAAAATATAGTTTTTCCTATGTCCTCTAGCTCGGTTTTATGAGTATATGATAAGATACGGAATTTATTTTTTCTGCCTTGAGCTGGTCCCTGAAACTTCAGGGCATAAGTAACTTTTCTCTTCCTGAAAGTGCAACGGACACTTTTTTCTCACATCGTTAGAGTACTGCTTGTTTTATAATGAAAAATTCAAATTGGCGGCATGATAGGGATCTTCAGTGTTATTACGTAAAAAAACCTATACGAGGGATGTCTTTTAAGTTTTGCATATAGAAACATAGTAGGCCGCGCGGATCGAATGTCAGTACTGAATCTTAACATCACTCTTCAGTAAACATAAATTCAAAGTTCCACAACAATACGTGCAGTGTTCTCACTACAGTGAATTAGAAAAATGGAACTCAACCGAGAACATTTTCGCGACATGATTTATTACAACTTTCAGAGACAATTATCGCCATAAGAATACCTTGCTGAGTTACTGTCTGTTTTCGGCAACGAAGCGCCACATCAAGCAACAATTTCCCATTGGCATGGAGAATTCAAACGGGTGAGTCTATGCGACAATCCAAGGGGGGGTGCACCAAAAACGGCAGTCACCCAGGAAAACGTCGATGCTGTGCGCAAACTCATCATTGAAGATAAACATGTGACATATCGCGAGATTGAGGCGTCCTTAAAGATCTCAAAGACCTCAATTCAAAAAATTTTACATGAAAAATTAGGAGTAAGAAAATTAGTTTCTAGTTGGATAACCCACCTGTTGGCTGAAGAGCAGAAAGCAGCCAGTGTTAATTGGTGTCAAAAAACGCTACACCGTTTCAATTCCGGAAACTCAAAAAATGTGTACAGCATTGTAAGTGGTGATGAATCGTGGATTTACTGTTATGAATCAGAAAATAAACGACAGTCGGCTGTTTGGGTGTTCCAAAGTAAAGAAAAGCCAAAAAAAGTCATCCGTTCTCGAAGTGTTTCGAAAAAGATGGTCGCGATATTTGTGTCAAAAGCGGGTCACATTGCAACAATTCCTCTTAATGAGCAAAGAACTGTTACTGTGAATTGCTATACCACCATCTGTTTGCCAAAAGTCATCACCGAGCTTCGAAAAATCAACCCCGAAAGAAGAATCCTCCTCCACCAAGACAATGAAAGCTCGCACACAGCCCAAAAAACAAGGCAGTAATTAACGGAAGAAAACGTGGAATTATTGGACCATCCTCCATATAGTCCCGATCTAAGTCCTTACGATTTCTTTACTTTCCCGAAAATTAAAAACAGACTGCGTGGTCAAAGGTTTCCAGTCACCAGAAGAAGCAGTTGACGCATTCAAAAATGCCGTTTTGGATCTGCCAGCAAACAAGTGGAATAAGTGCTTCGAAAATTGTTTCGAGCGCATGCAGATGTGTATTAATCTTCGTGGAGAATACTTCGAAAAACAATAAAGTCATTTAAAACTAATTTTCATATTATGCAAAACTTAAAAGACATCCCTCGTATAATGTCAAAAAAAAAACGACAAAATGTCTAGTAGTGACCTGACTAGATAGTTCCTAGTGGACAGGCTCAATGATCCGCTGGAAGTATGTGGCAAATAAGATTGGTTGAGTAGCAGGATACAAGATTGCAGCTGGATGATTGTATGGTGATTGTGTGTACCGGTTTGCATGTGTATAAAATCAGTGATGTTTGCTTTGTGGGGAAATCATTACTGAATATGGTACCCATTAAGTGTATATCTATTATTATCTATCTGTTATGATTATGGGGTTATCCCCAAGTGAAATAACGCGGCACGATGACACATGGACAACGTACGTAGCGTACAGAGTATGTCGCACCACGGTTTTGATATGAATTTTCAACTTTTATACTTTAAAACAAAATATAGCAGTTCATACACTCAGATCGTTAGTTTAGCCCTCATAAGTGAAAATACCATCACATGTAGATTTAGTTTATACGGAGAAGTTCTGTAGAAAACTCTCTAAACTCTCTAAAATTGTTGTTGTTTTTTTGTTGCTCCTATTACTTTTTTAAACAGGATGGATAGTGTGGAAGACATTTGTTTTATCAAAACGACAGCTAATTCTCTTGACATATCATGACTCCAATTGGAACTGATTATTGGGGCTCAGTATTCTAACGGTATCATAATGAACATTTTCCATTGTACTTATCGTAAAAGTTTGTTGTTCCAAATCCTGTTATCTGTCCTATGAGGCGAAATTCCACGAATAGGTAGACAGATACCTATTTTTAACATACCATATAACGCACACTTAATTTCGAAAAACCGTTCAAGAAATAGCGCTAAGAGGAGGAGAGAGATGAGAAATATAATTTCTTATAAATTTTTCCAATACCAAATATTTGAAACTATACTAGCATAATTACGTGCAGTTTGCGAAAAACGAAAATTCGCCTCGTGTCAGCCTTTGGTGGTTCTCAACCCCTTCACTTGTTCCAACCCATGGAGTATCCTATTCATAGAGTATAGCGTAGAAGTGAAAATGCATAGAAATATTATACACATGCCACCGTGCATATGACACACCGCATAATATGCGAAAAGCTCAGAAGGGTTATGTCGGATATGTGGTACGTAAAGTTCACCGAACCGTAGTCAAATATATTGTTAGGTGATCTTATCGTGCTGGGGTATATATGGAAGGTATCGCACAATAAGTACATTTGGCAGTAAAGTCGTTCAACCTTGAAACAGCCTGTGAAGCAAACGCGATAAAATGATATTCTATTTCCCATCTCATTTCGGATTTTCAGTTAAATGGAAAGACTGTCGCATTGCGTAGGATACTTCATGAAGACATGATCGATACAATCTTCTTCAATTCATCCCGTTTACGGTTGTATAATTAAAGCTCTTCAGCCACTAAAGCTATAATTAAGCAATTTTTATACAACATGATCGCACTTCTACTATATCATGAACACATGCACAGTGTTCAATCCAAGAAATGGTGAATGTGTCGTATATGGCTTAGAGACGGGCATCTATTTTTAGCACATTCGCCATATTTGAAAAATGTGAACCGTTACATCGACTGTGTAAGGTACTCAAAGCAAATTATGTCAAATGTCATATTTTTTATCAGAATTCAATGACTAAAACGACTACATCGTGGCAACAGGGCAAGAATGGGGTGGTTGAAGTGCAATAAAGTGCAACAGATGAGTGGTTGCACTTTTTCGAAAAATGACATCTACAAAACATTTTCGTAGATTCAGTTTTGATCGTATTCCTACGAAAGCCATCGTGCAAAATGTTCACAGGTATAGAAAAAAATTGGAAATGTAACAGAAGATTAGATCTAATTGAGCAACAAAGGTCAAAGGTCAGACCAAGAAATCTACAGGATGTACAAAATAAGAATGGAATATCATCTGATCTCGTAAATGGTAAGATGTACAATGTTGATTAAATAACGAGGAAGTTGAATGATTTAACCGACATTTATACAATTTACACAAATGAGGAAAATAATGTTGACGATATCGGTTCCCTCGAAACGGATAGGTTCAAATTATCGAAATAATAAGCTAAGAATTGATACAAACTAGCTCAAAGGTTATATCGAAATTAACTTGACCATGATGCCCTAGCAGGCTGTATCTCAACATAAATGCAACCACTTTATAATGCGTACATATAATACAATATTTTGGAAACACTTTGCGACCTGAGTGACTTATGCGCTTACAGTAGGATCAACAGGAAAACTACAAGAATGCTTTTTCAAAAAAAAAGTGTTGTAACGTACTGGACAACGTCTTCAAAACTTGAAATCACCTTCAAATTTTGTTATCCAAGCACAGTATTTTCAAGTTTGGTCTCTTGTCAGTATTTCTGACCTTCACAATTTTCGGATATACACCTATAAAAAGTTTTATGTAATGCTTACTTGAAGAAATAAAGGGCTTGATCAACTTTATCGGTGATTTTATGAAAAACGCAATCAGGAATAATGTTTTTAGTTCACCGTGTTTTACCTTATTTTTCCATATAGTTACTCCTAGTCTCTAATTTTGGCACTGAGTATATAATTAGGCTAGCTTACAGTATTAAATTCGAACATTTATGGATAAGCAATATTGTTGATACCTGTTATTCTTGCTGTAATATTTTGAAAAATGGTCTGCTAGATAGATAGAATGGACGCCACTGCTGATAGACCTCATCGTATAGCTGATTTTTGTTGTTCCTTTTTTTGTGATGCTCATCACGTATTCAAAGCTGCAGAGATGGATATCAGAAAATCCATACATGCTTTCAGAAATGTGGTGAATTCCTGCGGCTATTCTAGATTCGATAGAAGAGCTTCATTGTTCTTGTATTATCAGGGTTAGATATAATCCCCAGGTATATCGCAGACTTGACGGTAACACAATATTGCTGTCTGTCCAGCCTGATTAGGAAACATCGGACCGATATATGTGGTACGATAAACAAAAGCAAAATCACTAATATGTACCACAAATATGGCAAAGGTGGAAGTGAATATGAGTTGTTGAATAAAAAGTTTTCCTACAAAAATCGGTGTACCCATTTTAAGCATCCACGTTTTAAATACTCCCTTGAACTTGCATCAAGAAAACCAAACTTTACAAGTACAAATTTGCTAATATGATAAGACTATTTGTACAACTGTTCCATAGGTTAAGTCTTACAAGACACAGTGACTAAAGATCGAGCAGACTAAGTGTCAAATCGCATTATTATGCGTATAAAACCAGAGGAAACCACGGGATAATGGAAGTGCGACACTCCTATAATAACACTAAGAAAAAAAGAACTAATAATAGATAGAACTGGAAAATATACAGAACAAAATTCTGAAGTTGACTTAGTTTAAAATGGAATATATTATCGCATTCTATTCTATCCGGAATAAGAATTAAATCTCATTGGGTGACTATCGGCAGAAATACAGGCGACGTTCTCATTGTACGAATTTGTTTTTAAAAATGGCATCCAGTAGGTTGACTCTGCACTTCCTAGGCCACGCTGTCATCAGCCCATAAAAAAATTCAGCACAAGTTAAGCCCTTTGAGAATTATGCATAATTACGAATATACACACTAGATAAACTAAACGGATCAAGTCAGTCAAACAGGCCCATCATTATACTGGTGTTATCATCCATCTGGTAATGACCCTCCCCCTATCATCCGACACGGCAGCGCCCACCGACACACCACCGCAGTACGATCAAAACAATCAAGTAGACCGTTACTTTGGGCGCTGAGCCCAGATAGCGGAACGAGACGCGTATTGAAAACATTCCACTATCACTCTAAATCTTAAAAACAAATATACGGGAAAACCTATGGTGCATGAAATATGGCTAATAGCTGCGTAGAATGACTGGGAGCGTATACATATACTAACATAAACAAAGTGAGACATACCCTCCTCCATACTCTAGAACCCCTCACCCTTCTGCAACCCTCCAACTCTCCACCTACATGAGTGGACCACATTATAAGTTGTTGATTTTCTATGACGTTTACAATTGAGTCCAAACTCCGAGGATTTTGTAAATGTTCGCTACTTGCTCTTTGACTTCTCTGCTAGCTGCTATACCTCTGATATACCGGGTGTCCAATAAGTACCACGACAAACTTAAGGAGAAGGGGTAAGCTTTGGACTGACTCCCAAATAACAAAAACTTACCTATGTAAAAGTGTCACCGTTTTTGAGATATTTGATTTTTTCTTAAATTTAAAAAAAAACGAATCTCTTCTTCTATGGTATTTCGCAGCATATACAAATAAGGTTATACTTTGTTCATTTTTTCTGTAAAATACTTCTAGATAGTTGCTTTATCAGATACAAATGCAATGTAGTTAAAAGATATTAAGGAACCACGATCAAATAAGGACTTTTTTGGGATTTATAACCTTCTGATATTTTTCCTCAACTTTGACCATCTGGGGTGAAACAAAAATGTACTGGGCTATAACTGCATTATATTGAATAAAAAGATTACTCATTCAATACAGATTGCAGAAAGGCACCACACGTACTATTTGGAATATAAATAAGTGATAGCTGCTTTTGTAAGTGACTGACACACACTACCATGTAATTATTGAATTTAAATTCAAGTTGCACTGGTTACCGATCAGTGACATGCTAAATAGTACAAAGCTACATTATTATTACCTGCTCCTGATATGATTTTATGAAAGTTGAAGAAACAATATCAGAAGGTTATAAATCCCAAAACAGTCTTAATTTTATCATGGTTTCTTAATATCTATTAACTATATTGCATTTGTATCTGATAAAGCAACTATCTAGAAGTATTTTATAGAAAAAACAACCTTATTTGTACATGCAGCTAAAGATCGCAGATGAAAAGGTTCGTTTTTTAAATTTAAGTAAAATTCAAAATCTCAAAAACGGTGACATTTTTATATAGGTAAGTTTTTGTTATTTGGGAGGTCAGTCGAAAGCCTACCTTCTCCTTAAGTTTGTCATGGTGCTTACTGGACACCCTGTATAAGTCATTATTGTTGTAGATATGACATTATAAATCCGTTTTTTTTCATTCTTCGCTTCTTCTCAATATTGTTAATTACTTCTAAATACACATACCGATTACAACTATTAACCTTTTCCCAATATCTAGACCCTCAGCTTCCTCTAGTTAGCAATCCATTTCATCTATTAAAAGATGGAGTCGCGTCTATGTGCAGAATACCCCATTTCTATTGAAATATCCCAGGCCCATTTTGTACATTCTTTTCCAAACCAAAGGATGTCAAAAGGCTGTCTCAATACGCCGGGTAATGATTTTACCACTATACGCTTTTGTCGTAAAATGTAAGACCCAAAACTCGATGTATTCCGAATCAAGCTACTATAAATGTCTCAAGATGCCCTTCACAAAATTTATTGACTCTTCGAGTTCTTTTGCTTTTATGCGGAGCTTTAACAATAAAACCAGAAGCACCTTGTAAATTCTATTTATGTTACGATCGACTGTAATTCAAATGAATTGCTTTTTCTCAGTAACAGTGACCAATTATTCTTTAACAACTATGATTTCCTTTCCATCGCAATATTGCGGAATTTGTGTCGTTATTTCGGTGAACGGTTGCCTGCATTTGTCGTTTCGCAAGCCGCATATGCTGATGCAGTTATACATCTACAGTTGAATGCCTTGCTTTTTAGTGCTTCTTCAAACCTTAAACGAGCTTTTATTCACAGAGACGTTGTAATTAGAGAAATAAAGAGGATGGTACCTCGATCTCAATTTTGTACTTACCCCTCGTGCAGTAATGTCAGTTGGTTGTTTGAAGTTTGTAGACGAGGTGGATGATTCAAAATATTAATTTCCATTGTCTATAAGAAATTAAATATGGCCAAAAAAAGGTTTTTTATTGGCTTACTTGTCGATGTACAGTTTTCATTGTTTCTTCAGAAATTCAAAAAGGTTTTTGACATGACTAATTTATTTTCATCTCAAGGCAAAACGTTCTTGGATCTAGAACACAATATGGCCCTTGACACATATTTCGGTATGGTAAAGAGGCATAAAAAATTTAATCAGACACAATTATAGCAGCTCCGTGGTCAAGATTAGATGTGGTCATCTGATTCATTCGACTTAATATCAAACGACTACATGATATCTTTAGCAGCTTTGGATTTGATTAGGTACTTAACATTAAAATAGAATCACTCAATATCCAAATAATACATAAATTGTTATATAAAAATCTAAAACGAATAAACAGTTTTCCTCCCTAGCTTAATACAGGGGGTTAGGGAAATAATAAATAAAAGAGATTCCTTGCATTATTTATAAAGTTTATTATAACTTATGTTCGAAAATCAATCCTTTTCGAGGAAAGTGAGTCGTAAATAATTAAACGTTCTCGAACATTTAGCAACGCTGCAACGCAACCGCGGTACGAGCGCAAGACGACCGCAACTGATTCATCGAATTGTTTACGTTTGTATGATATTTTTGTTGAAAATATGCCTTGAATTATTGAATACTTTTACGCAATTTTTTGTGGCTAACATTTTCTATATAATAACGCTTCAGTACAGTACATTTACTTGAAAAAAAAATGACAGAACTTACCGGTACGTGGTGATATACACCACCAATTCCCACGATTATCAGAAACTTATTTGAAACGATGCGATGCACGAAAAAAGAAAAAAAAAATCTGTAAATCACATAAAGTTACGGTTAAATGCATCAGTAATCATAACATCACGTGATGATACATGCAGTGCAGGCGGAGTACGAAGTTGCCAGTTGTGTGAGGGATTTTGTTTGTACTGTTCTTCTTCGGAAAATTGTATTTAATAAGCAAGAAAATTATTTTGTTAGAGACGGTTAATTAATAAATAGATGTACTGATACATTTTACGCTAT